AAACTTAAGCCATACCACTTTAGGCGAATCTGATTAAAAAGTATCGGCATATACTGAAGTCAACGAATTTTGAGACATTTTATTTTCTACAATCGTTGATGTTTCAAGGCTTGGCTAATAAATGAGACGGTTTGGTGATCTTATGGTTGGTGCCCGAATCGTCAAACCATTTGTCACGTCTCATTTGGCTTCAATGTTTCCATCTAAAATGCGTCACTCTCGTAAGTAAAAATGTCAAATGGTTGTTTTGCATTTACAAACCCCGACATGAATCAAAAAGTGATACAATGAAAAATTTAATTTTTTATCGCCACTTAAAGCGAATTCAGTTTTAGAGAGATGGATACATCTCCATTAGTAAATCTTTTCCTTTCGAGCCATAGCTAAAACCCGCCTCGACCGTAATAATTGTGCCAAATGTTTCAGCGCTAATAAAGTAATGTGTAGTTTTGTGAACGGCGTTTATTATCTTCGAATTAGTAATTTATCCATCTCTCTAAAACGGAGTTCCTTTTAAGTGGAGATACGGAACGGTAAGCAATCACTTTTGTGTAGTAAAACTTTTTGATCTATTTCAGCGCGACATTCAAGTCATCCGTAATGGGGTTATAGAAACACCACGACAGGCGGCAGCAATAGTTTTCTTACTGTGCTCACTGTTTTACGTTCAGAGAACGTTAAATCCAATAAACAGAACAGACCCTATCGCCTCACCAGTGCGGAAGATCGATGGGGAGTAACTGAGTTTGCACACAGAGGTGATGATTTGAAAAAGTTGCCAAACAACTCGGCATTGAGATCAAAACATGTCCCACAATTATAGCCACAGATCGGGAAAGAACACATGCTTGAATCTTATAAGACGAATCATCATCATCATCGTACAGCGAAATACAGTGACGCGAAATTCACTGATTGCTGCCAAACTCGTATTGCATACAAGGTTAGTGGTAAAATTTAAGGTGAACATTAAGGTGAACTTTGATGGAGGGGGAAGAAGTTGAACCTCTATGGTCAACACACAGTGCACAATCGAACACTACATACGTACCGTTTCAAGCATTCTGGTCTGATAACAATTGACAACAAGAACGCCACTGCTGTCGTTTCGCCGCCATATCCTTCAACGTCTCCAACCAGCCAGTTGCGGAGTCTTTCGGACTCCAACCTGGAAGGCGTGTGACACCTACTCTACCTAATGGCTCTGTGCATTTGTGCATGCTTCGTCTCCACGTCATCTGTTGACCTCCACGTGGTTTCCTCCAGCCCGGAGCAGCTACAACGAATAACGCGCGATGTGGTAGCTGGTAGCTGGTAACTGGGCATACGTAATATGTACCCTAGCCAGCGAAGTCTGCTAATCTGAATTCGATGGGCTAGCAGGTTTACACCTGATAGACTTCCAAACACACGACGGCTTACCTCCAGATTACTAAGCCGAAGTCCAACGACGATTTCACACGTCTGTGTGAAGTTCTCCATGAGAACCCTACAACATATAAGCAGTTAAGAGAAAGAGTAGAGAAGGACTGAGTCCCCGGGAACATAGATCAATACGACTTCGACTGAAATCATATTTCTTGCACCAAACAGTCGTTTTCTAACCCGCTAGAGGAGATTTTCAATAGATTCAAATAATTAAGCATTTTTAATTATTTCAGTTGCTTATCATTTAGCACATTAAAACCGGTTCATGGGAAACAATGAAGTCATACGAGATGTAACAAATGGATCGACAATACAGGCACATCGATAAGCCTTCTTTAATTAATATGCAGTGTGGCACTTGATACCTTCACGATGGTCAACCGGGCAGTGTGCAATCACCACAATGTATCATTTCTTAAAGAAGCTTTGAAACACTAACAGTCGATAACATCAAAATACTCCGATACTTTCTGATCTGATTTACTAAAGTATGTGTGTCGAGGTTGAGGGACTGCGGGTCGTGGCCAAAGAATTGTGCGCTTAGATTACGGATTTTGGCTAAAGGATTGTCGGTAGAGGTTAAAGCCCTGTGTGTTGGATACCATGACCTTGGGAAATGCGTCCCAATGACACAGGCTCCCAAAGAACAAC